GAAGATCAAATTGGCTATATGTTCTTTGTGCTTGCAATGATATATGTGAAATTTGGAGGCAGAAGAGACACAAAAAAGGGCAATAAACCTGCTAGATTGAAAAAGTTGCATACTGGACACCAGTAAAATGTGCTTCAAAGGGGAAAAATAGACAGAAATCATGTGTGCCAAGTCCAATTCAACTGATATCTTGGATCCAAATGAATTTGCTAATTTGGTTTGCTTCATCCTGGAGCTACATCTGTATGTTCTATTTCGATTCAAAGCTCATACAAATTGGTCTAACTAAGGCTGCTTCAGTCGGGAATTGTAGGAATCCAACGTACAGTCCTACTAAGTTGGTAATGTTGAACCATGCTTCTATTCTGAAGCATACCTTTATCTAACTCTGGAAACCAAGCAGGGGCAAGGTGTGGTTAATACACAGACGGGAGGGTACAAGGGACTGCTACAAGAAGCCAGACTTAGGATGAACTACAAGAAGCCATATTTAGGATGTATATCAAGAAAAACTTCTTAACTGTTAGAGCAGTACAAGAACGGAACCTTGGGAGGTGGTGAATGCTCCAATGCTGGAGGCATTCAAGATACGATTGGACCACCACCTGCCAGATTTGCTTTGACTTGGGTTCCTACAGTGAGCAGGGGGTTGGACTCGACGGCCTTATAGGCCCTTTCCAAGTCCATCAGAGTGCTTCACAATTTAAAATTATGGACATATATGAAATTTACATCCATAATTTTATTAGTCCTGGCAAATAGAAGGGGAAGATATGGAGGCAGTGACAGATTTTACTTTCTTGGGCTCCATAATCACTGCAGATGGTGACAGCAGCCATGAAATTAAAAGACGCCTGCTTCTTGGGAGGAAAGCGATGACAAACCTAGACAGCATCTTAAAAAGCAGAGACATCACCTTGACGACAAAGGTCCGCATAGTCCAGGCTATGGTTTTCCCAGTAACGATGTATGGAAGGGAGAGCTGGACCGTAAAGAAGGCTGACCGCTGAAGAATTCATGCTTTTGAATGGTGGTGCTGGCGGAGACTCTTGAGAGTCCCCTGGACTGCAAGGAGAACAAAGCTATCCGTTCTGAAGGAAGTCAACCCTGAGTGCTCACTGGAAGGACAGATCCTGAAGCTGAGGCTCCAATACTTTAGCCATCTCATGAGAAGATTCCCTAGAAAAGACCCTGATGTTGGGAAAGTGTAAAGGCAAGAGGAGAAGGGGACGACAGAGGATGAGATGGATGGACGATGTCATTGAAGCTACCAACATGAATTTGACCCAACTCTGGGAGGCAGTGGAAGACAGGAGGGCCTGGCATGCTCTGATCCATGGGGTCATGAAGAGTCAGACATGACTAAACTACTAAACAAAAAAGGTTTCATTAGTTACAACTGAACGGGTCAAACAGTAAACTGATGAACATGAGTGCTTTCCGCAACAGACCTCAACAGAGAGGGAAGGGAATTCAGAGACAGAAGAGACCACTAGGTTAGTGTTGGATAGATTGACACCCAGATCAGAAAGGTTCCTCCTGGCCTTTCCTTCTCCAGGCAGCATTAGAGGTTGTAAAATCTCCCAACATAATATTGCATGGGAGACAGATTTCAGGAAACTACCTTTTTAAATTTTTTGAATGACCAGAATCCCCCTACCAGTGTTGTCTAGTGGATGTTGGGACTCATAGTGCCAAATGGTTTTGCTAGCAGGTCCAACTGTAGAGGTGGTGGGATAACCTTCTTAATATTGCACAGTTGAAACCCCATCAACTCTAGCCAGCCCATAGTGAGGGCTAATGGGGGTTGTAGTCAAACAACATCTGCAGGGCCACATGTTTCTCATCCATTCTACTGTCACAAGAGTCTTGTGATCTGGCAAGCTTAAAGGGGTAATTAGAGAGAAGGAAGTGAATTGCACATATTGGTTTGATTCCTTCTCTGGAAGCTTCTTGTAGCCTTCATCTGGCTTAATTTTCTGGACATCCAGCAGGTGTCCCGGAAACAAATGGTTTGGTCAGGATTCTTTCTGAAGCAGATTATAAGGAGTCTGACCACTTACTAATAAGCAAAAAACGTCAGGGAAGAAATGCGCGCATATTTAAGGGAAAACCAGATGCTAAATGAATACGAACAACTGTTAAGAGAGGCAGTGATGACGCATTACGGTTAGTTAGAGTTTTTTGCTGTGGAGTTGATCTGGATCAGCCTCATGGGATCTGGGCTTTTCATTCAAGCTCACCATGTGCACATATTAACAAAAATATTAGAAGTGCTGCATAACCTTTTGCTAGACAGACATGTCATGGCTTATTATTTTCTAAACAGTGCCACCTGGCGGTAATTTTATTCCAAAATCTCCTGATGATGGAAGACTTAAGAGAATTGTGGTGGGCTTACCCCACCCCATTCCCCATGAAAAACTATGATGGGAAGGGGTTTCTCCTGCTCTGAAATCTAGTAGTAAGCCACAATGAGAGGAGGACTACTCTAGTTGTAACGTACTACTGGATTTAAGCCATTAATTGACGACAATAATAAAATTTATCGCGGTCAATGTTATGTCTCTGCAAACAGAAGCCAGAAGTGACATTTGCAAGGGGATTGGTTTTATTTTAATTTTATATAGTGGCTTTGGGCACTCCTGTGTGACAATTATGATAGAAGTGTAAATAAATAAATAAATAATCACAGATGATAGATAGATAGATAGATAGATAGATAGATAGATAGATAGATAGATAGATAGATAGATAGATAGATAGATAGATAGATACGGATGTACTGAATGCCTTTTGTTTTGAGAAGCTGCCCAAGGCAGTGCAGCTGAGTGGTTAGAGGATTGGATTCAGAATTAAAAGACCTGGTTCAATTCCTTTTCTCGGCTAGCAAACGGACGGGATGGCAACAGGGCGGACAAAGCCTCTCAGTCTGACCTACCTCGCAGGGTTCCTGAGAGGATGACGCAGGGCGGAGGTGAACCATCTATGACGCCTTGAGCTCATTGGGGGAAACAAATGAAACAGAACCTGAGTGTAAAAGGGAAAGGATACTCTGGACTGTGTCCATTTTTAGGTGACCCATGGGGTCTTTTCTTAACTTCCAGAAAGGACACCTTATTCATCAGGTGGAACAGGTATTGGTGGGAAGTTGTTTTAAATCCCCCCATCAGTCAGATAGCTATTATCTTCCCTCTCTTCCCTATCCCTTCTCTTTTTACACTATGTCTCTTAGATTAGGAGAGACATTATAATCCTCTTCCATCGCCTTAGAACTGCAAAGCTGGAAGGGACCCTATGGATCATTGAGACCAGCCCCTGTCAATTGGGGAATAGAACCCCGAACCTCTGGCTCCTCAGAGAGAGACCTAATTCTCTCTGGATTTTTGCTTTTTCCTCTCCCCTCCGCATTCCTTTTTCCTTTTGTGTCATCCCATTTATACTGTGAGCCCCCAGGTGGAAAGACATCATAGATTCCATCTGTTGGTTTTCCTCTTCCCTCCCCATTCCTTTCTCCTCTGGTGTCGTTCCTCTTTGCTTGCAAGCTTAGAACTCTCTTTATCTCATCGTCCTAGCTGTGTAATGTTTAAAACGTCGTCGGCCTAATAGCAATAGCAATACTGCTGCTACTATTGTAAGATCTGATCCAGATCTCATTCTGCACATCTGTTCATAGGCCTCAAGCAGGAATGCTAAACCGTGATACACCACCACAATCCTTTGTCCTTTTAATGGAGCTTGAATTATTGCAGCTACACCCACTAAGGTGTCAGAAAATCCCAGTCTTTGATTGTGTTTTAAAGACAAAAGAACATTGTTACACACAGCTCTTTCCTTGATAAGAAGCCGCAAGCTCATCTTATGCAAGATTGCAAAAAGGGCCAAAATCAAACTATTACAATGTTTGTTTTCTAGTTTCCTTTATTTTTATTTTTATTTAAAACACACACACACACACATACAGCTTCATCTCTCAACTCAAGCCAGGCTTCTCCGGAATCATGAATAAGTTTTTCCTCCTTTTCAACTAACTGCCTGAAGTCACTTCCAGCCGTATCCCTTCCATTACTTGGCAAAGCACAAGCGGATCAAGAGAGCAAAGCCGACTCGTGTAAAGCGGTTCTGATGAATTAAGAAATCATCCGAGGCAATCTCCCCGGATTTAAGAGAGAAACCAGGGGGGGCGAGGAGAGAAAGAGGATATGAAACCCCAGCTTTGGTCCAGAAATCCTTTTCCTCTGCAAAAACATACAATATGATGCTGGGGTGGGGTGGGGGGGGAAGCGTAGTGGAGGGATTTCAAAAGCCCAGCTTCCCCCCCCCACCGCCTTTTGCTCTACACGAAGAGGAAATCAGGTGACGGTAAATGCGTGTATTGCATTTCTGTTGCAAATGTTTGCAATTAACTTAATTGAATTCACTCGAGTTTGAACTGGTCCCGGAGCCAGCTTTAACATTGAATGGGCAGTTCTCTCTCTCTCTCTCTTTCTCTCTTCTTTCCTCCCTCTTTGTCTCAAATAACATGCTCTTCTGCGCTTCGGTTCTGCAGTCCTGAACAGTCTTGCTGGTGCTCCTTCTTGCCTCTGGTGGGAGAGCATCCTTCTGCTTCCAGCCCAGCTCTACCGTCCTCCCAGTCTCACTTGTTAAAAGACCCCATAGAGGCAGGAGAAAACCAACAGCCAAGGTGTGTGTGTGTAGGGGGGGAAAAAAGAAAGGAGGCGAGAAAAAGGAGAAAGAAGAAGGAAAAAGAGAGAGGAGGAAGAAAAAAAGAAAAAAAAGATTTTATTTTATTTAAATAAGGCAAGAGACGTCTGGAAAATATTATCCAACCGTTTCTCCAACTGCTGGAGCTGTCGCTTGGTGCTGCTAAGGGGAGACTCGAGATAGAAG